AACCAAAAAAAAAAAAAAAAAAAGACACAGGGACAGACAGTAACATTCAATCATCAGAAGGCAAATTAGATAGACATGTACAGATTTTTATCAATTTGCTCTCTAAAATTTGTTGTTTGAATGTTCCTTATTTTAGGTATCAAAAATGTATCCATGTAAAAGCCATATAGATTTTAATTATTCAGTTTTTGTTTTCTGAAGTTTTCAGCTACCACAATCTAATAGAGAAATATTTTGTTTTAAAACTCAAAAAACAGCCGGGTTCAGTGGCTCAGCCTGTAATCCCACGCCTTTGGGAGGCTGAGGTGAGTGGATTGCCTGAGCCCGCAAGTTCGAGACCCGCCTGGGCAGCGAGACCTCATCTCTACAATAAATCAAAAAATCAGCTGGGCATGGTAGCGCATGACTGTAATTCCGGCTACTTGGAAGGCTGAGGCGGAAGGATGCCGGAGTCTGGCAGGCGAGGCTGCGGTGGCCAGGAGTGGCCACTGCACTCCAGTCTGAGCGACAGAGTGAGACTCCAACTCAAAAAAAAAAAAAAAAAAAAAAAAAAACCAAAACTCAAAAAACTGTAAGATCATTTTTCCTTTTTTTAGTATCAGACAACACTTAACAAAAGATTTTTTATCTTTTTAGAATTAAGAGAAAATAACCATACATGGCACTCTTTTTCCAACTTTCCAGAAAGAGCTAATCAGTTACCAACATTTTGTTCTCAAGTCACACAGGTACAAAAAAGCACTTCTACTTTTTAAAAATGTGTACTCTACCCTTTAAGTAAAAGTTTGGTAAGGAGATTCTTTTATAATACTGTGAAATAGTTTACATAAGCAAGCACTCTAACGTATTAGACATTATACAAATTGAGTCTAACTTTCACAGTATGCAACTGACTTCGTTTCTAACTTAGTCAAGGATACTGAAAATGTCCATAGTCGATAAGAATAAGGCCTGGATACAGCAGTATGCATAATGCATTAGCAATCTGTAGAGAAAAATATTGTGAAATGAGAAAGTAATCAGTTATGCAGACCAAACACAGTAAAAAAGTGTGGTTTTCACTTAATACAGTAGGAGGTACTATACTTTCTTTTCAACAAAATACTGTTTTCATAAAACAACTTTTTTTTTCTTTTTTAGTTGAAATCTCACTCTGTCTCCCAGACTGGAGTGCAGTGGTACATTCCCAGCCACCACAGCCTCAACCTGCTGGGCTCCAGTGATCCTTCCACCTCAGCTTTCCAAGTAGCCAGAACTACAGGGGCACACTACCACACCCATTTAATTTTTTATTTATTGTACAGACGAGGTCTCTCCAAGTTGCCCAAGTGGGTCTCGAACCTGCGGGCTCAGGCAATCCATTCACCTCGACCTCCCAAACTGCTGGGATTACAGGCTGAGTCAGCGAGCCCAGCCAAAACAATTCTTTCGACACTAAAGTTTTCAGAGAGGTGACACAAGACACTTCATACCCATCCTTAATGGGTATTTGTCAGAAGAAGCAATTCTAGATATACAAATCAGAGAAGTCAATTCAAGGATTAACCTATCTAAAATGACTAAAAACAGTATTTGATAACAATGAATATAAGAATATATAACAAATTTCTAACGTGCCTTTCCGTTTAGTCAATCTCACAAGCCTGCTCAAAATTTAGATTTACCAGTCATGCAATAAATTCAGCATGATATGTGGTTAAGGAGTACATAACTTCCAAAATGCAGTATCATCTTAGTGCTGTAAGATAAGCTGATGTTTTCTAAATGAAAATTAATTGATAGAAGATATAATGTTTCTTATTAATCTGTTTCTAAAAGCACAGCTTCCCTAAGGTCTATCCTTAATAGCTGAGCTAATAAAGAAAATATTTCAGAGAGGAACTGTCAGGATGCTTTAAAATTTACCTTTTTCTTAGTAGAGATCTCTTTCAAATAACCACAGTACAAAACCACTGCAGGTATGTAAATCAGCAAATCAGCAACTAAAACTGGAAAAAACAAAGCAAACAGTTTTAAGCAAGAGACCACTGGGACCTACAACAACCAATGACCTGCCTCCCTTCCTCCATCCTGACTGAGAATTCTGCTCACATTCTTGGGCAAGTCCTTTAATTAGTCCTTTTCAATCTCTTCATCTCTGTCTAATTTCAATTAGGAAAGAGTCTCTTAATTTTTCCTAACAAATTCACACATTCAATCAGATATATCCAGTATTCTCATTTTACTCTGACTTGGGCTTAAAAATTAAGACTATTCAAAGCTGACAGAGTGAAACCCTGTCTCAAATATATATATAATTATATATTTTATATTATATGTATATATTATATATATATACACAAACAAGAAAAGATAGTATTTATTTATACACACACACACACACACACACACACACACACACACACACACACACAAAGCAAGAAAAGATAGTATTTTTTACCTCAATATCTATGTACTCCAAATTTTATGGTATGAATAACTTAAATGTTGCAATGAATAGGAGAATTTTTTTAAATGTTAATCTTTATTTAAAAATATAAGCTTTTTCTGGTCAGGCCAGATCACACCAGTAATCCTAGTGCTTTGGGAGGCCAAGGCAGGAGGATAGCTTGAGCCCAAGAGTTCAAGACCAACCTAGGCAATACAGCGAGACCTCGTATCCACAAAAAAAATTTAAAAATTTAAAAAATAGCTGTGCCTGGTGGTGGGCATCTGTAGTCCCAACTACTTGGGAGGTTGAGGCAGAAGGATCACCGAGCCCAGGAGGTTGAAGCTACAGTGAGCCGTGATCATACCACTGTACTGTTGCAGTGATCACCTCACTTCAACAGAGACCCCAACTCTAAAAAAGAAAATAATAAATATAAACTTCTTCTAATTAATGCATATAAAGAATTTGAGAGCCCAGGCAAGGAAAAAATTAACACTAAAAAAAGAAAAACGCAATTCAAAATTCTGAATGTGCAGTCCTTTTAGAACAAAGAAAAACAAATACATTGTTCTTCAAATGTACAACACAGCTGTCCAAAGAGCATATCTTCTTGGCCAAGCATGGTGGTTCACACCTATTATCCCAGCACTTTGGGAGATTGAGGCAGGAGAAGTGTTTGAGGCCGAGAGTTGACTGAGCAACATAATGAGACCCCTAACCCCCATCTACACACACACACACACACACACACACACACACACACACACACACACACAAACACACACACAGCCTATTTTTTTCTTGTACCTCACAAAATACAGCGTCCAGAAAAAGGTAAGTGGCAGTAAGCCATCAGTGTTAGATGCAGACAATCTATGTTCAGCTCGATGTCACATTTGAGATGACACTGACAGACAAACACTGACAAACAAACACTCCTAAAGGAGTGCTCAAATGGAGCCCTCAAAACTATAATACCATTCAACAAATTGGTCATCTAAGGAAGAGCTAATGTATCTAGGAATGCTTAACCTAGAGGTGACTTCCTAGGCCTATAGAATGCTAGGTATATAAGGAACCAGAAAACAGAACCTAGAGTGACTAACGGAAGTTCAATATAAGAAGGTAATTTTCAATGATGGAGGTGCTTTAAAAATAGAACAAGCTTTTTCTCAAGGTTGTGAGTTCCCTGAAAATACAGGCATTGTTTCAGAAACTGAATAATCACATGGTGAGTACACTGATCAGAAAGGACCTGGCTTTGGAGGAAAAAGGAGAGTGGCGAGAGGGAGGACACAACAGGCAACACAGGTGATCTGCTGGGCCAGAGATCTCGACTGGAGGGACAGTAAAGAGACCCAAGTCTGACTATATTTAGACTAATTAAGGAAAAAGCCTGGGCTAACATTAAAGTTCAAGTCATGTAAATCTTTTAAAGCAATCTAAGCTTATTATTTTCAAGCTCCCAGAACTACCAGGTTAAAAAAATGCCAGGCACTCAGAATTAATCCTTTCTACTCTTTTGGTTAGCTTACATACACATTTGGTCTTGTATCACATACTCTCAAGCATACGTATGTGTAGCTATGTAATTTTAAAGTACAAAAAAAGCATCTTTTATCTGTCCAAAGTTTTTAAGGAACTGAATTTTACATCCAATACCTACTGTTCTTTTACCTGTTGTACGCATGAAGAGCTTATGTGTCTCACTTTCATATCCACGTGATGTATGGAGAGCAATCCAGTCTGGATTTATAAACTTTGCCCTGCAGATCAAAGCATATACACATACCCTTTATTTCTCATCACTTTTAGCAATAAGGACATTTGAGGGCATTTGAATTTATTCTGAGAATTGGCCACTGCTCTCATAAAGCAAGAGCATCAATGCTTAAGCTTTACTCTTTATTTCATCATGTGAAACTGACTTAAGTTATAAAACAGCATCTGCCTTGTTCCTCTCTTAATAAAACCATGTAACATATAACCAGAATCCCTACCTTCACAGTTCTTCCAATGTAAGAACAATCTGGTACATCACATTTCATTTATTATTATTTTTTGAGTCAGAGTCTCACTCTATCGCCCAGGCTAGAGTGCAGTGGCACGTTCACGGTCACCTCAGCCTCAACCTACTGGGCTCAGGCGATCCTTCAACCTCAGCCTTCCAAGTAGCTGGAACTACAGGCATGCACCACCTCACCCGGCTATTTTTTTTTTTTTAATTTATTGTAGAGATGAGGTCTTGCCATGTTGCCCAGGCTGCTCTTGAACCCCTGGGCTCAGACAATCCTCTCACCTTGGCCTCCCAAAGTGCTGGGATTATAGGTGTGAGCCAATGCGCCCATCCACATTTCATGTATTAAACACAAACTTTATAAAGAATATGCTACTATTGACCATAAGATCACATTTTATAACTTATAATCTTTTCATTTATCATAATGATTAGCTATAATAAACAGCTATTAACAATCATAAATCACTGTATAAAACTAAACACAATTATTAAAGATAAATGAAATTTTTAATCATATTACATTACCCCAAACACTACAAAGTCTAACTGATTATCATGATGATTGGGAGCTTATTTTTAATCCATGAAGCTTACTTTTGCAAAACATGAATACACTCATGTGCTACAAAACGCCATTTCAATCAGCAATGGGTGGCATATATGACAATGGTCCTGTAAGGTAATAGATTTTTACTGTATATTTTCTATATTTAGATATGTTTGGGTACATAAATATCACGATGTTATAACTGCCTACAGTATTCAGTACAATAACATGCTGTACAGCTTTGTAGCCTAGGAGCAATAGGCTAGACCGTAAGCCTAGGTGTGTAGTAGCCTAGACACTCCAGGTTTGTGTAAGCACACTCTACGATATTAACACAACTATGAAATCACCTGACGATGCATTTCTCAGAATGTATTCTTGTCATTAAGTGGCACATGACTGCAGTTAAAGATGAAATAATTAGACAAGGAAGGCAAGTTCAGAAGACACTGTGAAGAAGTTCCTCAAATTTTTGCTGGCACATCTCAAGTCTGAGATGGAATACCACCACAGAGAAAAACTGGGTCTCTAAAACAAGTTCCTACTCTTCTGTAAACTATTCTGCTTCTTTAAAAGGAGGAGGAATTCCAATCCCCGTCTAAAATCATAAGTAAAACACTTCCATGATTCTATTTTCCACCTTGACAGAATAGTCAGAATACCACCGGGACCTGTATTTTTCATTTGCTTTGGGCCATTCCAGAAAAAGCTTTCTGACACACAACTAGCCCATATTTGATATATTTCTCAGTTCATGCATAATTGGTAGCATCTCTACTTCAAAACAAAGCTAGGTTTTGCATTTCTTGCTAGGTATTCCTCCAAAGAAATTACAGAAATCAATTACCTTACAACCTATTTGTAATACATAATACAACAGCAAGAAAGCCCAATCACACTGTTTCATACTGTATCTACTAAGGGCATAAATATTTAAAGTTATATCGAGGAAGAAAAACTTACACATATGCACATAAGAGACTATGATAAGCTGTAAGAGGTGGGTAATCCAATCCCCAGTACTGTAAATTGTTATCACTGCTGTTAAAATACCTGGGAAAAAAGGAAAAAGAAAGTACCATTCTATTAATCAATATTCAAGAAGTAGACTTATAATTTAACACCCCACCTCATTTATTTAAACTAAGCTTAATTATTTCATTAATTATTAAGCTACTAATAATTAAGCCATGACAACAGATACAAGCCAGAATTGTCTTAGGCAAACTGGGACTTACTGTCACCCTACTATCTGTAAACTTAATCAATGACTAACACTTATACAACAAAAAATAAGCAACAAAGACAATTTGTGTCTGAAAGTCTAAAGGAATTAAAGAAATGACACAAGCCGGGCTTGGTGGCTCAGCCTGTAATCCCCCGCCTTTGGGAGGCTGAGGTGAGTGGATTGCCTGAGCCCGCGGGTTTGAGACCCGCCTGGGCAGCAAGACCTCATCTCTATAATAAATCAAAAAATCAGCCAGGTGTGGTAGCACATGCCTGTCATTCCAGCTACTCCGAAGGGTGAGGTGGAAGGATCGCCGGAGCCCAGCAGGTGGAGGCTGCGGTGGCCGGGAGCAGCCACTACACTCCAATCTGGGTAACAGAGTGAGACTCCAACTCAAAAAAAAAAACAAAACAAAAGAAATGACACAAAAATCACAATTTTAAAATGTAAATAATCAATAACAAAGAACACATACAGATTTGGTTTATGGAAAGAGAAATACTTCATGGAATAGGCAGGCTCAGAGTTAAGACTGAAAATAATGTTTGAAAATAATTCAGCCAGCCGGGTTTGGTGGCTCAGACTGTAATCCCGCACTTTGGGAGGCTGAGGTGAGTGGACTGCTTGAGCCCGCAGGTTCGAGCCCCGTCTAGGCAACTTGGAGAGACCTCATCTCTACAATAAATCAAATAATTAGCCGGGCGTGGTAGTGCACACCTGTAGTTCCAGCTACTTGGAAGGCTGAGGCAGA